CTCCTTGCACGAACCTAATAAATTTATCTTGCATTTGTCTTCTAGCGACAATAGTACAAACCAATCTCTGAAGGTTTTCACAAACTCGTCCCACTCAACCAAGTGGCTGGTTTCACCTCCGAACTTCTCTTGCCTCTGACTTTGCCACCATCTTTCAGCTTCCCTTTCAAAATCAGAAGTGGGAAAGGTAACTCTCCTCTTTGGTAGACAAGACACGTCATCTATGATTTTCGCCACTTTCAATAACCAGTTTTCTGCTTCCACTTACCCTTTTGCTCCAGAAAATAAAGGTGGTCTTATATCTTGAAAGAGCTTCAAATACTTATCCATTCGTGATCCTCCATTGCTACTTGCTTTAGATTGAGAATTCTTAATCAACTGAGTCACAACATTTATCATATCAGAGAAAACACCAACACTTACTATGATATTCTGCGGTACAACAGATTCTACATTCTCATCTCTAATATCTTCATTTAGATCATTCATAATTCTGAAAAAAACAACAATATAATTTAATTAGACTCAATTAAAATTTTTAATTTCTTTTATTTATTTCTTAATCCAATTTTTCTATTGACTTTTTCATTAAAACTCATGTTATTTAAACCTCTGCTCTGATACCACTTCTGTCACGACCCGACTCAGGGCTTGGAGTTAACCAAGATGAGAACGGTCGGTTAGATGGTGGAAACCAATTCTCTGTTATTCTAATTCTATTACTAACAATTTAATATTAAAAAATTTACATAAAAGATCACTAAAAGATTCAATAAAAATTAATATGTAAAAATTGTACCTTCTTGTTCATGCTCTCGTCTTTTGTATACATTTGCTCATTTTCTATTAATCTTGTTCAAATATTTAAAACTTAAAGATAATATTAAAGTAACATAATAAGTTATTGAAAGATAACATAGAGTAATCACACTACTAAACTACAGTAATCTAATGAAAATAATATAATTCGTATGCGAGTCTATAAGAGATCATATAATATGCCGGTCTTTCATATTTTAAGGCAACGATAGTACTTACAGTGTACCACAACCACAGATCACAAAGAGGAAGAGGAGGAGAAAGACAACAATCGAGAGAGAAGTGTGAGAGATGCGCGTGAGAGGGAGACGGGGGAGCGATCGAAATCCATGGGATGAGGGCAGAGAGGATCAAGGAGGCACCTAGGGCATGAGGTGAGGGCAAGCACGACGAGAGGGCAGAGAGGTAAAGCATTTTCTTCGAACGCGGGTTGCGGGGTCGACCCCGTGGACGAAGTTTATTACAAAACAAAAACAATGTATTGTGAAACACACTGAAGACGGTGAAAACAAACTCCATGGTGGCGTTTTGAAAACGCAGACACGGCAGATAAGCTGCACCAAACGCAACCTCAATCTATTCATATTAATATATGATGCTTTATATGGAATTGATTGATTTTTAGTGTAAAATTTTATAACTTTATTTCGATAGAAATTTGAGGGGTGTGAAAATTGAAGTACATTTTTAGTCGAAATTTATCAAATTTCTCAAAAATTGGTTATTACAGTTTCAATGTAAGTATATATATATATATATATATATATATATATATGTAGTACTTGTATAATTATATTGCATTCATGTTAAACCATAACATCCTTTCCCTATCTCATTATCTATTCCATGCAAAGGTGCATTGAAAATTCATCCAAGAGCTACAAGGCATTAGTTTCATCTACAATAATGTTAATGCACTGAATATTAATATTAAATAAACTTTACTATAATAAATGCTTATTTATAATATAATTTATATAGGTTAATATATTTAAAGTTACATACATACAAACATATAGATAGACCTATGTATGTACGTACATGCATGCATACACACAGATAGGCAGATACACATACGTACAAACAACTATATATATATATATATATTCAGTTGTTCGATTTCCCCCGAGTATAGTATGTGGTACTCGAAGTCATTGGCACATGAGGAATGGTCGGGGCTTGTATAATAGCTTCCGACCATTCTTTTAATATATATATATATATGTATGTATGTATGTATATGTATGTATGTGTATGTATATTCTCCAAAAAAAATATATGTATGTATGTATATGTATATCTGTATATGTATATATGTTTATATATACATATATATTTTTTTTGAGAAAGCCAAATGACTAATATATTAAAAAGAAAGTAGGATACAGATAGATTGTGTGGGAGGGCCCAAACATGACGCCCTGCTCACACGATAACCACCACATGCAAATGGTTCCAAAAAGAGAAAATATGAAAAAATACATGAGAGACCTAAAAAAGAGAAAAACAAAAAAGTATCAAAATCCGGATTATCAGGTAACTAAAGAGGGACCCAATTTTGCCTTGCCTCTGTTTCTAGCTCTAGGGAAGGAGTCAACTAATAAATTGGTGAGTTAAGTGTCATTGCTAGTAGTAAGCAATGTATCATCCAATAAATTTCCGAGCTCGAGCCTGTCTCCATTCTTCTTCTTTCTTTTGGAATAAACTTGTCATTCCTCATCCGAAGATTGACTCGCCTGGTCAGTGGATTGGTTTAAAGTGTGTCAGACATGTGTTGGTTCTTGAACATTAGAAGCAACTACTTGTTGTACAAGTTGATCTTTTATTGGATCATGGGAGCAGAAGCATTCTCGTGTGTCCTGGCAAGTAAGTGGGCATTCTTCAATAACAGTGAGTGGTATAAACACTTTTGGATCTGTACCTGTAGTATTGTGTTCTTCATCAGGAACTACGGTGTTGGCAAGGGGGGATCCACAGGCATCCACAGGCAAATCCTACTTCCTCCTCAGATTGAGCAGATGTGTCCATAGCAATGGGGTTAGACCCCTCTTTGTTTGCTTGAGCTTTAGCTTTCAAGTTTGGATGAAGCCTGTGACATTAATCAAGTGTATCCCTAAACACCTTACAGTGGATACAATAAAAAAGATTTTTGTTCCATGAAAATTGGTTGCCAATATCCATTGTGAGTTGTGCCCAGGTCACATCTCTTTCCACAAGTATTCTGGCCACAGAAGACCTGGTTAGGTTAAAGGTGGGCATATCTAGCTTCATAGGATCATCAAGTATGACTCCGATAGAATAAAGAACCTGATGATTAAAGAAATGCAATTTGAGACCAGGTAAACTAATCCACAACGAAACAGTAGGAGACTCATGGTTTGACCAACATCAGGAAACCACTTGAGTAACTTCATTGACTTGCCTGCAATGTTGAGATATTTTTTAGAGAAAATTCGAGCATAGTCTTCAGCTAGGGTTAACTGAATCAACACATGTCTTCCGTAAAAAAGTCTCACTTTCGAATTGCCTACAAGTTTGAAATCGTCAACAGTTTTTCTGATAACTTCCATAGGTGGGTGCCCCCACTGAAATTTCTCAATAAGAGCGAACTTGAATTTCTTAGTTAGGGTTGAAATTTCTGAATTAGAGAAAAATAGTGCTGCTTTCCTACTCTTCCTACTTTCCTTTTTAAGAAAATGACAATTACTCGTACCATCACGATATTCCTTGTAGCTTGAGGGGAATACAATAGTAGATTCCGCAAGATGATTACCCACCACGTGGGCGAAAGAAGCTTTGCCAGGATCAACCGAAGAATAAGAAAGCGCCATAATGACGATCCTTGAGTCCGCAGATGCAAAAGCCAAAGAAACCAGCGGTCCGATTTGAAGCGCGACCAGAAGCGTCGGATCGTCAAAACCGCGAAAGGCGCAGGACTGGTCGAAACAGCAGAAACGCGAGCATCACAGCGTAGCTCGATCGGCCCTATAGCAACACGATTGGCCCTACAGGCGACGGACCACGATTGGCCCTAGAGGCTCGACAAAATAGACGTCGGAATAGAGGGTCGTACTCCCCTTCTTCTACAAGCGTGTAATTAGGTAGCAGAGATTAGGGTTTCCCCTTGAGGCGAAACCCTAGCAGAGCCTCGACGAAGCAGACGACCCCGTAGTTCACAGATATATACATATATATATATATATATACAAATTCAAAATGATCATCGTAATCCAAATTTTAGTATTTTTGATGCTATAGACTATATTTCAGGTCATTTGTGACTGCGGCAATACGGCACGTGCAACAGTGGCCTGAAACTAGCTTTATGCAATTGTGGCCTGTGGCCTATGGCCAACTGCTTTGGCAAGGCAGCCATGTTTGGTAGCTTGGTTGCCAGCAATGGACAACAAAGCCAACAGTTGCTAGGACAGCCTAAGGATGGGTATGGTGTAGATAGCGTGACTAGGTGGAGTTATATTCAATCTCCTCTCCTCTTGGGTTTCTTGGCTATTGGGAAGATGAAGGATTGGCCTTCTTTCTTTCTTGCTTTTAGATAAATAAAAAGAATCCCAGACATCATTCTCATTTACTTGTAAAGATCTTCATCTTTCTGGGGGATATTTATGGAAACTGGTAAATATGCTGCTGATATAGTGACATAAATGATCTGCCACTTGAGTTCACAGATGTTAAAAAATCCATATTCAGTAGAAGTTCTATTTCATGTTGTTTAGCCATCAAAATTGACGAACTAAATAACCATTTATTGATATATCTCTAACTGGATGTATAAGATGCATTTAAATTTATTTGGCTCACATGAGCTAAAGGAATGCAATTAAAAGTCAGTTAATTTTTATGTAGATTCTTTCCTTTATTCTTAGTTCCACCTCATTAATTTAGTCTGTACTTATTTGATATTCACCATTAAAGTGCAGGTTGGAACATGATGAAACTATTTAGGTCCAACATGAATCATTGCAAAATCAGGATCTTATTTTTTCTCATTAAGCCCTTATGATTATGCAAATATTTACGTGAATTTTCATTTCTTAACCAAATTATAGATTTTGACCGAATGCATAAATATATATATATATTTCAAAATGAACAATATTATCAATGCGTGTGTGTGTGTGTGTCTATATATATATATATATATATTCTGTATATCAATTCAGGTACGGAAGCAAGCTTACATAAGAGGAAACTCTGTCCCCTACGCCAATCTTTTTGTAATTGATAAGCTTATATCAACTCGCCATGAACTTGCTAAGGTGAAGATCTGCTATTTTCGCCCATATTTTCTATACTTTACTTTCCACCTAAACTATATGACTAAATATCAGTAATTGCAATTTTTAAGAGAATTTATTTCTACCATGCTTGAACTGCAGCAGCTGAAATACCTCCTGCACACGCTTAGGGATAAAAACGCCATTTGTTGGCCAAGAATGTCATGTAGCCCATGTTGAGTCATCTTGTATGTTAAGTCTCTAAACTGTGCTTAGGTAAGTCAATTTTGTTATCTTAAACAAATTTGTAAATAATAAACCTAGATTTCTGAGCTTATATGTAAGGTTATGTTAAATGTTGAAAATTCAATTATATAATCTGGATAATTTGAGAAGTTTTTTTTTTAAGTATTATTTCACGTGCATCAAGCATTACTTTGTTGTGGATAATGTTGTAAAAGTGAATTGATACAATTGGGAGTTTTCCAAGGTGATAAGAGGTGGCACCATTAAACAAGGAGCCTAGTAAACCTTGAATTGTTTGAAATCAGTTGAAAAGCAAAAGCTGTTGTTTAAGCTAATGCAGAAGTGCTTTGAAAAGATTAACCCAAAGTAAAAGTGAGACCAAATGCAGTTTTGAACATAAATAAATTGCTTGTCAAACCCTGTCTAGTTTTATACGATAGTGCTGAAGATGACAGATAAATTAAACAAACTGAACTGCAATGGGAACGGGAATGACAAAATTGCCATAAACCAAGATAGGAAGGATCATGTGGGTAATAATTATGAATGCACAAGGTATAGTAAAAACTCTAATTGAAACTCTAATTGAGTAGTGGTTGTTAGTAAAAGCTAGTGATGGGATCGATGGATAAAGCACCAAGTAAAAGCGGTATAAACTTAAGGTTGTTTGGTTTGCTGAAAATGTAATGCGGTGTAAAATGAATGTAATACAAAAATATTGTATTGTGTTTGAAATACTTTCGAGTTGTTTGCTTTATTATAAATAAATCTAGGGCTTTTTATATTCTTTTTGGTATGAAGTAGATTGAAAATAATGTATTTTAAAATATAGATGTTATTATCGAGTGCAAGTTGCTTCCGACAACCTTGATTGACAATTGATGTCGGTGGTAGCCGGTGATGGCAGAGGACGACCAGTTGCAGCAAAAGGTGGATGTCGATGACAGGCGATAGCGAGCGGTGGCCGATGGCAAATGGTGGACGACAATAGTAGATTGTGGCAGGACGGCGGATGACAGACATCGACTGGCGGTTGGTGGTGGGTGGCAGGGTGACGGGTGTCGGGTGGTTGACTGTGTGTGGATGGCGAACTACAGGTGACTGGCGGTGTGCGAGCAACGGGCGTCAACTAATGTTAGACAACGACATGTGGATTGAAGACGACAAACTACGAAAGGCGGTGTGCTAACGGCGAGCGTAGGGCAGTGATGGCAGGCGGCGACAGGCTGCGTGCAGGGGCGGCGACAGGCAGCATGCAGGGGTGGCGACAAGCGGCATGCAGGGGCGGCCTACCAATAAAATTTTACATTAATAAATGGTGTAAATCACAAATTCGACTAAATCAGTTGAATTCTAAATTCAGCTAAAATGAACTAAGTTTTAAATTACAAATTCATTCATACTTTATATTATATTTGTAATTCTTTGCACCAAACACATAATTTTCTAAAATCCCTACAAAAGAAATACATTACATTACAAATTGTCTCAACCAAACAATCCTTGTCGATGGATTACAGATAGTACACAGATGAAAATGGTTAGAGTTGCTAGAATCTATTGTAACTTGAAATCCGAATAAAATAGTTTGAATGCTCGTGATTGGAAAATAAAAAGAATCATAGTGGATTTCTAGTTAGTGTTACTGATGCTAGCTTGGTGATGTACCTTAAAATGTTGATGTTGATTCTAATTATGATGATTCACTCTAAATGTCTTTCTGGTTTTATGAGACAGATATTATGTATCACATTCTTGTTACAAGTCATATTTGATTTTTGAATTTAATCATTGTGATAATTTACAAAACGATTTGCCAAAATGCTTCTAGTTCGCATCAGTTCTTGCCTATTATATATTACATATGTTGTCTTATATTTATGTAAGTGCAGTTGATTATATTGAAATTATTCATTCTAAATTTTTTTTGTTTGTTTTTTTGTTTGTTTATTGCATTGGTATCTCAATATGGCTACTCTCGATGAGATTCAAATGGACATGAAACCATCATGGAAAGTACTATGAGATAGCTAATACATATCTGGGGCATACTGCCAATGCAGATTAACTAAAAAAGAAGAATTTGATTAGTAACTATTTTTATATTTCTTGTTCATGTGCTTTTATTGCTACAGAGGCATGTAAATAAGGAATATGAAGCTTGGTGGAAATTATTTAACTTGAAGAAACAAAAAACAATTTGTGGTCTTTGGGTTGAGTGCTCAATCTGAATATAAAGCAATTACTCTAGGTATTTGTAAGATTTTATGGATTAAACTTATATTAGAAGATTTAAAGCAAATGAATTGCCATATGTGAGGATATTTTGTGAGGATATTTTGTGACGATAGGTTTGCCATCAATTATGTTCGTAATCCGTTCAACATGACTTAATCAAATATGTGGAGGTGAATAGGCATTTCATAACAAAAAAAGAAAAGCGGATTTCTTTGTACTCTTGTATGTTCTAACAAAGAACAAACTCACTTACACATTCACCAAATGACTTTGCAACTCTGCTCCCAAAAATATTGTAAGCAAATTGGGAATAACAGATCTCTGCCATTCATTTTGTTGGGGAGTGTTGAAATTACCTTGAATTTATAGCAATGGGCTGTTAAATATAGAAGATAATGTGGCAGGGAATCATATGCAATTAAGGAAAACAATGAGCGATAGTTTCATATGCTAAATTAGAAAGAGGAGGGCTATTAATTGTTGCCTAGCTAGCATAACTGAATAGTTGGAATCGGCCATGGATTTGCTTGCTAAATAAGGAATGAAGATAGCTGTGGATTGATCCCTTGATGGAAAAATTGATAGGTCTGTCTTTTTAATATTATTTTTTAACTATTGTATTTGTGAACCATAAATCTAATGAATTCATATTAGAGGGCAAGTGAAAAATGGTTTGGGTAAAAGGATGTACTGTAAGTTGCTTTCACTTGATCTTTTGGGTGTGAACTATGGCCTAGGAGTTGCATTCCCCAATCTCCCTCATTTTATTATGGTTAGAGTTTGGTTCAACTAGCCATCCATTTCATTTAGGTCTAGTTTGTCTAATGAGTTTTTCTTGATTTGTCAAATTAATATGAATTCATATCTGTAGTTCAACCAACTCTAATCAATCTAGTTGTTAATTTGAGTTCGTTGGATTTTCTGTTTTTAAAATTATAGCTAATAACTGAAATGGAAATAGAAGCACAGATGATGTAATGCCCAAATTTAAGATACCAGGTAAAGTACGACATAATTTTAAAAGTACCCCAAAATTTTCATCCTACGAAATTTGATCGAAATAATTTTACTAAATTCTACGCAAGAAACTAATCAATTCCATATAAAGTACCATGCATGAATTGTTAACGAATTAGAAGAAATAAAATTTTGAGGTTAGCTACTTATTGAACCTAATTAATCGTTAACTAATTCTCCCTAATCCTCTGTTTTTGTTCACAACCGACATCCATGCCTTCTAATCCTTTCGATCGGTTGACTAGGAGTCCCATGCTTTGCAATTCCTTCTCTCCCGATTCCCTTCCCCTCTCCCTTGCGGTTTCATCGTTGATCGCGAACTCCAGCACAGAAGTGCACTCAGGTACTGTAGTCACGACCTAGCAACGAACCGACTGACACCTGGATAGTCGCAGCCCGCGATTCAAAGCTCCAGGGTGAAATCCAAGGGTTTGAATCTCTCTCGCCATTCTAAGTATTCATTTCCTTCCTCACACTTCTGTTTTGACTTTTGCCTCATTTTTTCGTTTTTTTTCTTCTTTCTGGCTGCCTTCATATGTGCTGATTATGTGCCAGAAGTGTCGAAAGTCCTTTGTGAGCTTCCGTAAGCGTTTTAGCACGAAATCAACGTAGGGGAAGTGTGGTTGGTGGTGATAGAAAGGAAACTAAGCAGTTTTGGATGGACTGATTATGCCAAGAAGCCCTTTTAAGGTATGCTTTGACAATCAATGCATGTTTTGAGTTAATTTATGTTTTGAGCTAAATTTTATGAAACCTTATGTTGTCTGCAAGCCATAGGTTGTCTTTACGAGGCGGTGAGCTCGAGACAAGCGTGTGGTATTCGTCAAAGGGTTGTTTCGTCTCGTTATGTAAAGTAATTTTATGCTAATTTAAGTAAAATACTCTTATATTTGTTTCATATGATTTTTATTTTGACATCGATGCATTTAGAATTTTTGAATATTGTAAATGGATAAGTGAAATTGAATGTATTAATGCATTTTTACTTCTCTTATGATACATATGCTATGGTATGCTGCAGATGATTAAGTTTATGCTATTAATTGTCCGCAGGTATTCATTTATTATGCTTTATGCCTATGATACATGTAATGTTTAATGCTTGATAGAGTAATGACAATTTAAATGTACAAAGAATGTTAGGAGGGCAGACTATTACATTAGTGCTTGCAAGTATATTGTGCAGGGATATAGTATTCCCGATTTCTGATATTTATATGAGAATGAAGCTCTGAGAACCGTTGGAATCAGGCGGTGATTGAATGCTAGAAAACTGTGATATCAGGGGGTTGACAATAACTGCTATGTTGGGGGAAGCCCAATCTTTATCGATAGTTTATATGACAATTGGGGCAGAGTGACGACCCATGATGAAAGAATATGGAAATAGTTGAACCCCATACGATAAATAAGTGGTGCTATTATGATATGGCTTCTATGAAATGACATTGTTAAGATAAAAATGAACATGCTTTTATTTATGATTCCATGTTTACAACTTGCATGTTATAATACAGTTGATTTTTATACATGTACTTGATATCTTCTCATGTTTTTTATTGCGCCAGCATGTTATGATTTGTGTGTAGAGATATATAGTTTTATATGAGCATGCACATTGTTTCTTTTTCATGTATAAAATCTTATGTTAGCCCTGATTATTTCTTTGAACTCGTTGTTGCTCATCATTGTTGCCTTCCTGGTAGGGGCAACAATCACCGAGGCAAGTAGTCAAGTGTGTCTTTGTGTAGCTTTTGCACGATATTTTTGGGAGTTGTACATATAGTTTGGGTATCTATTTTTGTTATATTGGATTTAATAGCTCTGTATAGTTTTCATATTTTGGATGATATGATCTTCATGCTTCCGAATATGTATTTGAAATGCAATGTATCACGTTTGTTGCGGTGATCCAGTTAGACTAATTCATCACCCGCCGGGTCTCGATTATAAAAGTTAGGATGAGTATTGGTGAGAGTTGGTCTGATCAAATTGCCAGCCACCGGCGCACTACGATTGACTCTACCAGGAGGGTTAGTTGGGGTGTGATTGATGACAGGAGATCTAAGCATGCAAAATCTTATACAACAATCTGACAATGCTTTTTTTTACATATCTTTCTAAGTATTGAAGTAGGGGTCATATGCACTGCCATGTTAAAAGCCTTTAGAATTATTATCCATCATTTTGATGGGAACACTGTGAATATTTATGCAACAAAATAGCTAATGCCTGAGGCAGGCTTGTTTTTTTTAATTTTCATTAGTCTAGTATGATCTCTATTTCTTCAAAACATCTTGCATTCAAAATCATTTAACTTTCTCATTTCAGTAAATTTTACTTTTTTTTAGCATCCTTTGAATGTGGGCTAGTTTTGCCATATCTAGTATTTTTGTGTGCGGATTCAGGTTTAGTCCAATTCTCTGGATGTGGGGGTTATGAAATTAATAATTCAAACTGTTGGCAAGGATTCAATGTTGCTGGGGTGTGGCGTTGGGGGATCAATCGCTCAAAACATTGATAAGAATTTAGTATCACCAGCTAAACACTGCCAATATCTTTCCCTGTGAGTACTTTACAAACAGAATATTAATCATAGAGTTGTCCCACCGTGATGTTTTTGTGGATCATTTGTGTTTTTGGAAGAGGTCGAACACTAATATTATTTAAATTTAGTGTAAATTGCGTTTTTTTCTAGAACATGAACATTATCGTTGTGCAGCTTTAATTGAGTTTAAAATGGCTTTTGTGATCATCTATTATGGTTCTTATGCGTAAAAATTTAAAAAAAAAATGAAAAAAATAACCTTTTCCTGTGGTGTTCACATGTGCAGATAATGGGGTATAGATCTTATGCTGAATTTGCAATTCGTTCAAATATGGCTGCATCACCTAATGTTGTCATGGATTTTTTGCTCTCATTAAGCAATACGGTCAGGCAAAGGGCTGATGCGGTATAATTTAGGACGAAAGAACAATTTACTTTGGATTATTTTACTATCTTTTCTTATCTGGTATATGATCTCCTGTTGTTTTGTAGGAGTTTAAGTTGGTACAGGATTACAAGAGAACAGTAGATAATGATGTACGTGCAGATCTAGAGCCATGGGATGAGGCTTACTTCACAGGAAAGATGAAATCTTCAGCATTTGATTTAGATTCTTCTGTAAGTCTAGTGCAGTCACCAATTTTGATTATTTAATTTGTCCACCTTTCCCTGTGTTTTCATCTCACTAATTTAAACATTAGGATAGTCATGATGGGAGACCTTGATCAAATATTTCCAAGTCCTTTTCTTGGTGTAAATAAATCAGGTCAACAGTAACGTTGCTAGAGCTTGGTGCTGGAGACAACCTAGCCTAAACTAGCTTGGAATAGTGGTTTTTGTCAATGGAAGGGCAATGGGATATATCCACCTGAAAGGAAGTTCATGACATAACACTTTGGGCCGTCTATAAATATTGGGCAAGACAAAATTGTGTTCATCACTAGTAGGAGATCATCTCCATTGGTCCTATTTATGATGTGCTCAATCATTTCCGGTCGCAGTGTGGAATACAATGATAAAAGAGCAATTCTTAGATTAAGATTTAGGTTGGGAATTTCAGATTTTGCTGGGTGTATTGTGAAAATGTCAATATTCCTGACATGTGAAAGAGATTTACGATGATGGGATGGAAGGTTTGCATGGCAGATGAGTTGTATGAGATTGCATCAATAGGAGACACAAATGTCACTTTCTATTTTTTTCTCTTTCGGTTAAACGTGAGATGTAGTAGAGGCAGGCAACCTAGATGCGTATCCAAAAAATAACCATTTTAACTCTTGTCAACTAAGATCAAGCAGATAGAAAACTCGTTTGCCTAAGATGTTATAATAGATAAAACTCTTTTAGTTGTCAAATAGATCTAACATAGCCATTTAAGGGTTTGTTTGGCGTAGCTGTGGGGCTGCGGGATGGTAGCAATCCGCGATTTGGGTTGTTTGTTTTGTGCGGTGCGGTGCTGTTTATTAAACGTGCCCGCGAAGCCACACTGCGATTTGATCGTGGATTATTCTGCATTATATGGTGACTTTTCCTTTCGCGTTCTCCCTCATGCTCCCCTTCATCCCGTAAGCAATCTCTCTAGGGCTTCTTCTCCTTACCTCATCTTCACTCGGTGACACATTTAGATAGGGTTTTTTGCCAGCATTTTCTTCCTCATACCTTCGGTATCTTCTCCCTCTCATCTCTTCTTCGTGGATTTGCTCTATGAGTTTTATGGTTTGCACACAGTGATTTTTTTTTGGACTTTTACATACAAAGCAACGGGGACTTGCATTTTCTCTTTTCTCAGTGACTACAACCCCAAATTTACATAGAAAGCACCACATGCTTTGTGATTTGTTTGATAGATTTGCGGTCTTAGGTTAATGCATAGATTTCGCTGGTTCTTAAGTTGGTTTTACTTTTTAGTAATGATTACATATTATCAAACAAGTCTTGCTTTTGACATTTTTGCTTTCTTCTTCCTTCATTGATTTGTGATATGTGAATGCGAATTTGAGAATTGTTTGGAGCAATATATAAACAGGGCTTTTAGGCTGCTATTTGTTTGGTTAAATATGGATTGTGATGTCATCATAATTTTTTATATTTGAGTGAAAACATTGAGAAGGGATATTGGAGGGTTCGACATTTGTTAACATCCTTTTCTTGCTTTCATATTACACAGTTGGTTTATTTATTGGTCTTGGGTGCTTTTTTTTCTGTTGGGAACTTACAATTTTACAGACCCAGCGCACAATTCTTTGTGTGTTTACATTCATGATAGTTGAGTTCATATTTTGTCGTTTGAGGGATGATGACAACCGTACTCGTGCGTATTTGATTGCTTCACCATGATTTCACTATGTTGCTTATGGTGTAATGGTGTTCACCATGATTTGATTTTGCAGGTTTGAGTGTTGTGTGCATGAATATTAATTTTATTGTGTGAGATATGTAAATTCAATAGAATTCTGTGTCATGTATGTAAATGGACCTTGCCAGATGATTGGATTATGTGGGGTTGGTGTATGCTCTTTGGATGAAATTTTTCTATAAGAATTTTTGAGAAAAAAGATATTTAGGATGATAGGATTATTCGGGGGAAAAGTAATTGACTCCAATGAAGGCCCATTTCTCATGTGTTTGTATTCATTGCATCTATTTGCATTTATATAAGAGTTTCATAGAAATTTACAAGTATATCACCCACTTCTCATGTGTTTATATTCATGTGGTTTGATGACTAGTGCTCAGGGTGCCATGGGAGCAGTGGTTTTTGGTGTGGGGATAGTGTAGGGGCAATAATGATTAGTTTGAGAATGGTGTGGGTGCAGTGCTGTTTTGTCTAGGGATATTGTGGTGTAGTTGTGTTTGATAGGGTTGTGGCAACCGGTGCAATGGTGTTTGGTGTGGGCATATTGTGGGGCAGTGGTGTTTGGTAGGGTTGTGGCAACGGGTGCAGTGGTGTTTGGTGTTGGGGTGGTGTGGGGGCAGTGGTGTTTGTTGTGGGGATGATAAATACGATAATTTTATATTTGTTTGATTTGTGCTAATTACTTCTTTTGTCAAATATTTATATTTAGTTGTTTTATGCCGGTGACACAATGGTTAAGACAAAAGATGTCTGTTCATCAATTATGTAGGATGAGGAAACCAAACTCATGCTTTGAGACCTCTGACTAAAGAAAAATATGTTGAGATTTTCATACCTATTTTATACTAATATTGATGATATTACACTTTAAAGAAGGGTATTTTTAATGTTTTATTGCAGATATGTTGAATTATGATCATTACAGCAAAAAGGAGCCAATTTAGAGCAAAAATGACCAAAATATGAAGATTTGAACTAGGGCGCCGACAACTGGTTTTTCGCGACAGTTCAGAATTAAATATTCTAGAAGGCCCTCGATGCCGCCGACGACGCCCTCGAGGCCGCCGACGGCGAGATCAGCGGTAATCTCAACAGGTGCATTGAATGTGGATGATTTTTGAGGGGATGCTTAGGCAACTCTTGGGAAAACTCTTCTACAACTTTAAGAGAAACTCTTGGCCAAAAAATGAGGTGGGGGGGGGAGGAAGTTGATGGAGTGTAGAGGGTATAAAGTGTAGAGAGTTTAATTTAGGGTTAGATTGTGAGGAATTCTTTGTGAGATTGTAAGAGTGGAGGGAAAGTGAGATATTTCTTCCTCCTTGTCGCTTCGAAGAAGAATTCTATGTACTGTAAGGAAAGGAAGATATTCAGGGGAACTTCGAGGAGTTTGTTTGGGGAGGAATTAGAGATAAGTGGTATTTACTTATTATAGTTTGTATGACTTTGATTTTATATATAAATTTCGAGTTTTTTTGCATCTTCCCCATGAGTTCTGAGTAGCTTCTTTTGTATTTCTCCTTATCTTGAGATTTTGTGAAATGGTGATTTAAATTTGTTGAGCCTTGAAAATGTTAAAGAAGTTGTGATGATCTTTTCACTTCGATCTTAATTTACTTTCAATCTGGCCAATTGATTTGTTAAAATATGTTAAGTTTTACAACTAAAGTGAATGTCAAAGTCCTTGGAAGTTGGATGCAAATAAATAGGAAAATAAAATTATCGGGCGCAGAATTGGAGATTTTAGAGTGACAGACTAAAATCCCTAATCCCCTCGATTCGGTCCTATCGTTTGGGTGTTGAAGTATACATGTTAGCCCTCAGGCGAGGGGAACGTTGGAGCTCCGAAGTGAGAGTCGGTATCCTCCCAGCCTAGCTGAAAAAGAGTGCAGAAAGAAACAGGAACGGAAAAAAGAGAAAGTGGATACAGAAAAAGAAAACTATCATGAATACCCAAATTTAAGATATCCACTTACACTAATGAAAATTACTGTGGAGAAACCTCCACAACTGTTTCCTCAAAGATTGAAACAACACAAAAAGGATAAATAATTTTCCAAGTTTATAGAAATTCTTAAGAAATTAACGGTAAATATTCCCTTCGTAGAAGCTTTAGAGCAAATGCCCAATTATGTGAAATTTATGAAAAATATTTGGAACAAGAAAAGGAAGTTCACTGATAATGAGACTGTTGCGCTTAGCGAAGAGTGTAGTGTAATTATTTAGAAAAAGCTTCTGGAAAAATTAAAAGATCCAGGTAGTTTCACTACATCGTGTGTTATCAGTGAAAAATTTTATGGAAGAGCTTTATGTGATTTAGGAGCCAGCATTATTTTTATTCCTCTACCAATCTTCAAAAGATTAGGATTAGGAGAAGTCTCACCTTCTGTAACTCTTCAGTTAGCGGATCGTTCAGTTACTTATCCTAAAGGAGTTATAGAAGATGTGTTAGTAAAAGTTGATAAATTTATCTTTCCTGTGGATTTCATTGTTTTAGATATGGAGGAAGATAAAAAAATATCTATAATTTTAGGGAGACCGTTTTTAGCTACTGGAAAAGCTATGATAGATGTTCAAAAGGGAGAATTAACTATGAGGGTTAACGATCAAGAATTTACTTTTAACATTGCGAAATCTATGAAATACCCTGCTGTTGAAAGAGATAATGAATGTTTTTGCATGAAAATTAGTGAACATCTATTGAACGAACATTTTAAAGAACATTTTGAAGACATTCATCTATTGAACGAACATTTTAAAGAACATTTTGAAGAGAAAGATCATTTTAAAAATAGAGATGAAGATATGTTAGACGAAATAGAAAATGAAGAATTAGATTATGTTCAGGAAAGATTTGAGATTCTGGATATTACAGGAAATGCTTATAAAAATCTAGTTCCGTCAATTATAAAACTACATGAACTTGAGTTGAAAATATTGCCTAACCACTTGAAGTATTTGTTTTTGGGAGACTCATCTACATATCTACATTACCTATCTTCATTCAGAGTTAAATGATTTGCAAGAGCAAAGACTTTTGGATACATTAAAAAGATATAAGAAAGCTTTTGGTTGGACCTTAGCTGATATTAAGAGAATCAGTCATTCAATCTGTATGCACAGAATTATACTAGATGAACATTACAAACCAAGAGTTGACCCACAAAGAAGATTAAACCTAATGATGAAAGTAGTGAAGAAGGAAACTTTGAAATGGTTGGACACCAGAATTATATATCCTATTTCAGACAGTGCTTGGGTAAGT